GATCTCTTTTTTTTTTTCCATTTATATTTTGGTATAATTTGATCTGCTGCTTTTATTATTATATTTTTGAGTGTTAACCAACTTTTATTTAGGGTATTATAATTCTTTTTCTGGTGGTTAATGCCATTGAAAAATTTTGACGACTCAACCTTTACAATTACCAACTCTGCAAATTTTAGTCATCGTTTCTCATTCATCAGCTTCATATTATATTTAGGTCCATTGGGGTAAATTTCCTCATCTTTTTCTCTTATTTGTCACTTTTTCAACATTTTCACACCTACAAGTTTATGGTTGCTACTTGTTATCAATTTGATGTCATTTAAAAAACAGGACGTAATTTTATCACACCATCTGTGTGACATCCAAATTGCGTCAATTCTACTTTCCTCATTTGAATTATCTCTTTTCCATGTATACCCTGTGTTTTCTGAAAACATTATTCTATAGCAATCAATTAGATCATGACTACTTAGCAGCGGAAAGATTTCACTTTCTGGAAATTGTAAGTGATTATTGTTATTTCGATCTATTGCAGGTGACGGTACTGCATTAAAATCCTCCATCACGATAACTTTTTTCTTTTTCCTTTGAGCTTCATTTAATTGAATTTTAATCCAGTTAATTACATTAACTTTGTCACTTTTTTTATTTGGTAAATAAATTTGCATTACGCAGATTGTTATTTTTCTTGGAAGGACTAGATCTATGCAAATTGCTCTACCCTCATATTCTCTTTTTTTACAAACATACTTATTTAATATTTTTGAAATTATTAAGGCTACTCCAGTTCCTTTTCTGTTACCCAAACAGTGGATATGAAATTTATCCTTATTGTCTTTATACCACTGCCCCTTGCTTTCACCACAATTTGTTTCTGCTATACCTATTATGTCGAACTGTTCATTTTTGATATAATTAAAAAATAGATTTCATTTAACTGTATCATTGAATCCTCATACGTTATGCGTAGCTATCTTAAAATTTGAGTTACTTATTATTTCACTATTATTATGTGTTAAATTTATATCTAAATCTAACTTATTATTATTAATGTTTATATTTTGATTATTTTCTATTGTATTATTATTTATATTTATATTATTATTATTTATATTATTATTATTATTGTC